ATATATTGCGCTCTGATATCTTTGTGACGATATATATATATATATGAGTCGGTGAAACACCGACGAAACAGTTTGTCACAGCCCCTCGTTTGTTGTCCTCTTCTCTCTCTCTGCCTACGGTTTACCGGGCAGTTCTGTTTGTGACGATATATATATATTTGTTTGTTGTCCTCTTCGCTCTCTCTGTCTACGGTTTACCGGGCAGCTCTGTTTGGCGATATTCTTCTTCTTCTTCGTCCTCTTGTTCTTCTTCCCCACGCCGGCTGCGACCGGCCCCTCCTTTGTCTTCGTTGTCCATATTGGGTCGTCGGCAGGCTCGTTCATTCTCTCCTCCTCCCAGTCCCCCTTCCTCTCGACGTCGTGTTGATGCTAGTCTGCGGGGTTCTTTGTCTTACCGACAACCTGCTCTGCCACGTCGGCGGCGTTCGTCTTTTACGCGCCGACCCCGCCAGATTACATCTGGCTTTCCAGTGGTGACCGATTCGGATCTGCGGGCAGACCCACCAAATTCTTGTGGTTTGACAGCGACAAATGTCTGCCTACAGGCTTATCAGCGTCAATGTTTTACTGCGTCACAGTTTGTTACGATTGCTTATCAGCTTGACGCTGTTGAAAATCAGTTGTTGTATGACCATAATGGCCCACCTCCTCAAGGTAGTAACTATACTGCCTCAGGAGGCTTTACTGTAAATGTCTTACAGTTAGCGTTTCACGGTCGCCACCTTCTTATGCATCATGCCACGCCAGGCGATGACCTCAATGACCATCCTCATATTTTTGCCTGTATTTACACAGACCTTAATGGCCATTTCTGTATATGGCACTCATTCGTGCAGCTGCCCAATGGGAACTATGGGATGGTGGGACGATGATTCAAGCAATTTTCAACGTGAACGAGTTTTTGAGTGCATTGCCGAATCATACTTTATTCTGGATTATTGCCCGACTCTGGTGTGACACCTGTCGGGGCAGGGACGCGGTGCGTCTTGGTAGTGGCATTCATCATCTATGCCATCACCATTATCAAACTATGGCAACCGCCGCCGTCTGTGCCGAAGGGTGCCCAACATTTCCTCATTGTACACATACCTGTCACCCAGACATTCGATGTCGCTTTTGTGAGCAAGGACGCTATCAGAACTGCAGGATGCCGCACTGTGATGAACGTCCTGCTGTTTTCTTGACATGTGGACAGCATGTCCTTTGTCAGGACTGCTTTGATGGGATGGTCCGTGCTAGCCGTCCTGCTGAATGCTGTGCTGGTGCAGCTGTCCTTGGGTATTCTTGTGAACATCCACGCCACCCTCAGCGAGCCTGTCCTATCTGCCGGGGTGGGGGCTCCTCTTCCTGACTGGTCTCAATAGAATCAAGCAGGTCGGGAGCAACACTGATTATAGGACATTGGAAAAACGAAAAGAAAAAAAGAAAAAAAGAAAAAAAGAAAAAAAATAGAAAAAAAGAAAAAAGAAAATAAGGTATAATATGAAATATGTTGAATTTTGTTGTGACAGTGGCAATTGGTTTATCCGAGGGATGTGTCAATTGCTTTGTTTGGCTTATACGCCTTCCTTCCTCTTCTCTTGTCCTTTCTCTCACTGGATCCTTTTTTCTTTTTCTTGCCTCTGTGAGGTCTGGTTTCCTCCTCCTTTTCTTCACCTCTTTGCCTTTTGGCTGCGTGCGAGTGGGTCCTTGTGACAC